AGAGAGAGAGAGAGAGAGAGAGAGAGAGAGAGAGAGAGAGAGAGAGAGAGAGAGAGAGAGAGAGAGAGAGAGTGAGAGTGCATGACATGCCGAATGACAGTCCCATTGCTCTCTGTCTGTCCCCCCTTGGTGTTATAGTAAAATCACTGATCTCCTATTATGGGATTAGAGATGGTGAACATGCAATGTGGTCAATGTCGCTGCAAAAGATATTCGTTTAGGATGAACCGGGCATTATATTCTGCTTTGTGAAGGACTCTGATGAGTTATGGTCTAGGCTAGGGCCAAAGCTGTTTCATTGTAAGCCAAAAGTACCTCCGAGCCTCTTTTTCCTGACAAACATTTGTACTGCGTGCCAATGGAAAGCAAACCGCCATCAGCGGACTTTTTTTGCTTTTCTGGCTGGCAGCCTGGTGCCACCAGCCATTTTGGTTCGATAGCACTCTTCATCCGAAGAGCCCAGATTGATGCAATTTCAATTTTCAGCAAGTTTGCCTGAGCGAGGTACTGGTGGCTTAAACCGCCAGTACCTACCGGGATGTCCGACCGTTAACGAGGCAGGAAATTGTGGATGAATAAATAGGCCTGCTGCGCGGGTCTGATTTCATTTGAAAATTTTTGAAACGGCAAAAACAAAAAGTCTCGCAAATACCGCTAGATACTGGCGGTAGTGGATACTGTTTAAGTTTGTTGCTAAATTTAGGTTGGAGAACTTGTCTCACATCTATGGGTCCCAGTGGCCATGGCATGCATTGCAAATTCATATCGGGAGCTGGTCTCATCCCCTAAATTACTCTATAAAAATATGCCTCGCTCTCATGTGAAACGGTTTTCACCTTTCTGCAGTCACAGATGCGGGCCCTAGAGTTCGATCCCCAGACCTCACTTTGCCCATGTACAGTATTGAGTCGACCCCCGAGTGTTTGAACCCGTTGTGGTAGTTGTTTGTCGTCTGTCGTAGGTCTGTGTAGCGGTAGGGGTTTGATCTGTAGGTCTGTCAATTAGTAGTCACAGCTCTGTAGGGGACGTGGCTGTAGATGATCTGAAAGATCAAGGTCGTAGCTGCTACAGTCCTGAACGGTCAAGGTCGTAGCTGCTACAGTACCCGAAAGGCCAAGTCCACAGACTTCCGGAAGGCCTGGAAGTGGCCTTTCGAAGTGTCTCACGTTTAGTCAGAGGCAAGTGGGCAAGTGGTGAGCCCAACTGCATTACATCGGCAGTGCGACTGCATCGAGTTGGCAGTGCAAACCCATGCAGTCAGCGGTACCGGTCCCAGTCAGTCAGAGTCCAGTCAAGCAAGTACCGTGTGGGGCTGTGTACACCAAGGGCCTGGGAAAGGGCCAGACCAACGGGTTACAGCAGTATAAATCAAGAGGCAGCGCCCAGCCATTCATTCATTCGCTGCGTAAGCCATGCGGAAGCGCTGCTACAGCGTCTTGTGCAAAGGTGGTCTGCAGGTTGCCCAAAGACGAAGTGGGCTGAAAGGAGATCGTAGCCATAGTCAGTAGTGGTAGTGCGGCCATAGCCGCTGTAGGAGGAAGTGAGACTAAGCGTGTGTGTGTGGTGGTATTCAGGGTGATCCAGAGTGAGTGTGTGTGAACAGTGGGGTTGGACACAGTGACGAAGGTTGGGATGTTCAGGCGCTGATGCGCCATAGCCTATTGAAGCATACCTGCAAGCGGACGCCGTCCGGGCGGTTCCGCACGTGCGGCAGACCGCCGGACCGGATCCGTGCGGCGCACGAATGTGCGCCTGACAACCAGTTACGCCCCAACCCCCCTCCATCCGGTCCGGTCCGGGTCCGTCTGGTCCGGGGGGAGGGTGCCGCACGCGGCAAAGCGGACCGGACCGGACGCTCGTCCGGTCCGTCTGCTTGCAAGTATGTGTTGAAGTGAACTTGCATCTGAACTGTGTTCTTGATTTCCATATCTGTAAGCTTTGAGTGGGCGCCCTGTGCCAGTGTGAATCTCTATCTGTTTGCATGTATGTGAAGTGGAAGTGAAAGCGAGGCTGATTGCACATGTCCCGTGTCGATAGTAACCCTGGTCCTAAGCCACTGGAACCTTTACGACCGCAAACCCTCCTCACGGTGCTGTTGTCGATGCTATCAGATTGAGGGAATCATTGCCAACAGTGGCTTTTTTTTTGTTGTTGTTGTTGATGCTATCAGATTGAGGGAATCATTGCCAGCAATTTTTTTTTTTTTTTTTTTTTTTTTTTTTTGCATTCAGCCCAAAGCTCTCGATTGATGTCACACTGGTTTCTAACAGACAGATTGGGGGAAGCATTCCCAACAATGTTTTTGTCCTTTTTTTTTTTTTCAGAAAACGCTAGCGGTTGATGTCACACTGGTTTCTAAGTCCTAACAGAATATCTGCTGCCGCCTGCATGTTTGTGGTTTCTCTGGGGCAGTTACCTTTGAAACACCGTGAGCTTTTCTCATCGGGTCTGCGACGGCGATCAGGCATACTTCTTTATGGTCCTCCAGGAACTGGAAAGGTGCAAATGGTCCCTCTGCAGATGTAACTACAAGCTTCAAACTGTGAACCAGGCCCCATTAGTGCTATGCTCACACATCTAGACAGCATAACCCTGGTCCTCATATTGCTGAAGTTCATGCATGCTTCATTAGAGTGAACAGTGCACCAGTGCACCAGTGGGGCCCTCCTTCCCCACAAACATGCTTGCACAATCCGCACCCCTCTTCGCAAACCAGTGGAAAGCATACTTGCAATCGCACGAGCCGCACGGTCGTGCAGTGCGGTGTGGGGTCGCGCGACGCGCGGAACCTGCCCGTGCGCCGCGCCGGAAACAATTTCTGTTTTTGTTTTTTTCTTTTGCTGTTTTCTTGGATGCGGAAGAGTGTACTTACTAAGGAAGAGATCCTGCTCAAGTACAGCAGTGCCAATTTTTCTTTTTGTCCCATTGAGCATCAGAAATAGCCTCAAACAGGGTCTCTGGGACATCAGTCTTGACTGTTAGGTGGCGACATTACTCTCCCGAGTCCCAACTTTTCTTTTCTTTTCATGCTACCAGGGTTGCCAGGCCGAACGTACGGAGGCCCGTTCGGGTCCCCGTATAGGGCCCGAACTTGGAGGGGTTCGGACCCCGCAAAAAAATATTTTGGCACCTAAATATTTTTATTTTTTTTCTGAAAAGGTATCTCCCTCTTAATTCTGAAGCTATTCTGTCCAGCCAAAAATAAATGAAAAATCCTCAAAGATGGTGGTGTCATTCTCGGCCTTTTGGCTAAGATCAAGTGTAGTATCTGTTCTGATCAGTTTAATATCTGATCCGTGGTCCATCGGACCAAAAAAAAAAAAAAAAAAAAAAAAAAAAAAAAAAAGAACTTGCTTGCCCACTCACTAATTTGTTTTTTTCTCTCTGTTCATTTTTTGTTTTTCTTTTATTTC